TTAATCTTCGTTTTCTCTTTCTTTTCTCCTCCCCATCTTCTCTTTCGCACTCTTTTCTATCTTGTCCTTTGTTCTCATTCCTTCTTGTACATTCTCTTTTTCTGAATGTAAAGGACAAGGCGAAAATATACGGTTTCTTCTTCAATGTAAATTTATAATAAGCATTTATATGAGCAAGCTTGACGTTATCCTCACCGTCTTTAGCTGAAGAAGAACATTTGCATTTGTGTACGTGTGTCAGTTTGCGCGGGAATGCTATAATTTTTTTCACTGTCTTGAAGAGAATCATTGGAAGCGCGATAGTTAGCATGATTGTCTCGCGGAACAACATGCTGACGAAGTGGGTTCCATTCTCAATATATACGCAACTACATTTTGCTACCCTAGGTGGAATAATGGATAGCAGCTCGGATTAAGGAATCGGAGAGCCGAGTTCGAATTCCAGTCGAATCAATTACATTCACTTACGTGCTAATACTCTTGGGAAAGGTATGAATCCTCTTCTTCTCAATACTATGGGTAAATAGCAGGACATACCGGGTTCTATAGCCTTGGATGGCAACTAGTCTACCGCAGAAAGAAATGGCAACCTACCGCGGGAAAAAAATCTGCCTCGTCAGTCATGTATCGAAAATACATGATCGCCTAAGTGATAACATAACTGACTGACTTACCCTAATTTAGTCGAATCCATTACATTCACTTGGGAAAGGCATGAATCCTCTTCTCCCTCAGCTATGGGTAAATATCACTGAATAAATAATTATCTCTGTGAAACAAGTTACTCCAGTCAATAAGTGTAAAAATAATCTGTGGGTTAATGTGGATGTCAGTGTTTCTTTAAATCAGCTTGCCTAACTCTGTAGCGAATGTAGGCTGCGAGACTGATTGTTGTAAGAATCGGGGTTAAGAAAAGTAATAATTCCTAGATAAGCCATAAAAACCTTTTCTTGAAAAGAAGTTAATGCGAGCGAATACTTCTTTCTTTTTTTATGTGTCGTGTCCTTTCAGGACGTAGGCGATCATGGCTCTCCGCTTTCTCCTATCTCTTGTAGCTCTCAATAAGTTTCGTCCCTCTGCCACACCTCCCTCAGACTACGAGAGTTATTTTATGTTTGATGCGAGCTGTCGCAAGATAACGGTCCCGTGACACCTGTCGCGCATGTCGTTCCTTTCCGGGCGAGGAATAGATTCCGGGGAATGTTATCCCCTTTACCCCGTTTATGCAAGAGAATACTTATTTAAACATATGCACATTAGGTTGATTTTTCACTGTTTTCAGAAAATCACGATTACACTCAATGTGAATTCCAACGTACAGACACCAGATGTTAGATTCATAACATTTACCAATTTTTGAGCATTTAGTCTTAAAGATCATATATATATATATATATATATATATATATATATATAAACTTACAGAAATATCTAATTTCCGCAGGTTTTTGTTTCCAAACTGCCTTCAAAATTTATTATTTCAAGAATAAATACGAATAAAGTTGATAACTTTTGTATTAAACATAAAAAAAAACAAGAATCTGTAAATCCTCAAAGGATCCATGCCCCCCCCCGTGTTTACATGAAAAGCTGCATAACATACAGTTTCCTAAAAATAAAGTTCTCCTAAATCAGATAAATAAATTAACAGTAAGCTGTAGACATTGTATAGTGTTTACTTTAACATATAATTAAAAGAATTTTTCATAAAAAATCTACGCAATTACATATCCATTATTTTATTAATATGCAATGATCCACATAATATTTATTTAATTCTTTGATTTTTCAGCTTTAATATTGCCATGTTTTATTGCCCAATCAATATAATAAGTATTGTATTTTAGGTTCCATATATATATATATATATATATAAATTTTTTATTATACTAGCGCCACCTTTAAGAAGGTTCTGAGGTATAAAAAAATTAAAACTTGAAATTCATCAAAATTAACTTTTTATTAAATTTAACTCTATGTCTACTTCACCGTACCTAAACTTTATATTTGCAGCAGTATATCTGCTGTGGATGTCTCTAAAATGTCAATTTATCTAGACATGAATTATTAATCCACTTACCTCCACCCTCTGACCTTATTTTTCACTTTTCTATTTTAGTTTTGATCTGTCTTTTAATTGGTTAATCAAGATATGCCCACAAGTATGTTATTTTTTTAATTTTGAAATTAGGTTTCCTCCTTTTTAACTTTCAAATGAGGTAACGACTTGTTTTCTAGTTTCCCAAATAAATCCTTTTCATTATAAGTTATCTACTAACGCCCGATGAGGGAACATTTAAATTTTCGAAACATGAACGTTTTTGTGTAGCGGTGTAAAATATAATAATAATAATATTATAATAATATCTGTTGTATTAGATATATTGAATGGAAAATATATTCAAATCAGAATTCTAATATGCAATTTTTTACTGTATTCGAAATTGCGTAAAAAAAAAATGTAAAACAAGAAAGGCTAATCAATGAATAAGATCTTACAGCATTTGTTAAATCATTGATAAAAACGGAAAATGGATAAAAGTGTATATAACCCCATAATATCACTGGACACAAATTATAAGACAAAATGTTTTAAATTTGCATTGTTTATTGAAAATCGCACTAAAACTACTGTACTGTATAATATATTGTATCTACATTGTACAGTATAATTTTCCTTTGAAGTAAATGAGGGTCTAATTTGATGGCACAATGATTTAGTAATAATATGCATGTGCCTTGCATCGTGTCCATATACGGTTTGTGAAGTTTAAGTAAATTATAAATTTTATAAGACTGTGCTATAAAGCTTTTACTGATCACCGGAATGAAATTCCAACGCTACGATTTTGAACCTAAACTTAGTCTTCATAGGCATTTTTCAAAAAGCTGTAAGGAAATGGAAAAAAATATTTTGTGTCATTATTTATCATGTCAAACCCAAACTTTTAAATTGAGTGCAATACCACAGTTCCAAAATCGACCTGTCCAAATGCACACTCACTTGTATACAAATGCCTGGGGTAGCTGAAAATTTCTTAGCCCAAGCAACTTCACGGTATCTTGAAGAAAAAAGATAAAAAGAAATCCTTTCCTGGTACCCTTTCTTATCTATGTATTTGTCTATATATCTATCACTTTCAAATATAAATTCAGATATGAAAATAATTGAATCGTTTTTTCTTTTTGTTATTTCAATAAACCCATTATAAAATAATTAAGTTTAATTTACGATTTGATGTTTATTTTACGACATATCAATACTTGTTGAATTATTCCATGTCTAATTTTATCTGGGCAACAAATGATGGATCAAACACTCGCAGTGGTTAACCTGACTAGCGTCATTAACCATTAACTCGCACACAGGAGTCTTTGGAGTAGAGTAATAACCTTGGCTTAGTTGACACAATGCAAAACTATTCTCTGTTAAAGAGGCCTTCAGAGTCACCGGACTTGATTGATTTCTATCGAGCAATGTTTGGGATGTGATCGAGAGGTAGATTCGAATCCTGTATGGGCAGCTAACCAATCAAGAATTGCGTGATGCTAAAATAGGAGTATGGACCCAGATTTTGAAAGACTGCTTTCAGAGCATATTTAAATCTACGCCAAGAAAAATGGTGGTGGTTCTAAAGGCAAAATGGGAAGACATAGTGACGTAGAAAAGCGAGTGAATTTACCGTCTTTAATTAACCCTTACACGGCGGGAAAAAACCTTACACGATCGTGCACGCCAAATGATTAAGAAACGCGGAGAAAAAAATGTTAAAGAGCAATTTTATACGAGTTTTCTTTTTATTCATAAAATGGTATTTTAATGATGGAAAATTATAAAAATGATATTTTAAATCTTTTAGATTATACAAATGAAAAATAAAAATAAAACAAAAGTTAGCTTCCTAAAAATAACATAGTATGATATTTCTTGAAATATTCTATCCAAAATGGCGTTTCTCCCTCTTTGCATTAACTTGTTATCGTTTTCTCATTGAGGAGTCTGCATGCAGGCATAGCACTGTCTTTGGATTGTTCTTTCCAGCTTTATTTGTAGGCGAATACACCAGAGAAAGAGGTAATCCCATGATTCCAGGTAAGTAGTGACTTAATGAAACTTGGTGTTGCCAATTAATCATTTAGACTTGATTCATGAATGAGTGATAACAGTATCTTTGTAATAAGTTTAAATCATCAATGAAACATCAGTTGATGATTAAAGGTTAAATAATATTATATACCGTATTTGACGGCATATAAGACGCACTTTCTTTTTACTAAAATATCTTTTAAAATTCCCCTGCATCTTATATGCCATATGTAGTTTTAAAATTCGCGATAGTCGGCCGAAATTAGCTACCTGGCAACTCCTATTAGCTCCTTTAGAGTAACTTTCATATACCAATTGTTACTATTTAAAAGGCTATTATGCAGATTAAAAGTGTTATCATTGATAATATTCATTATATTAATTTCATCACGTTTAATATTAGTACTTCGTTTCACCAAAATTATATGCAATAAATTCAAATAATATATTTGTAAAATATATTTGTTTCATTGATATTTTTCTTGTGATAACTCCCCGTTGCATTGGTATAAATACAATCAGAATTTTTATATTCTAATTATTCCACTAAGACATTTACAAGACGCAGGATGTATAGATCATATAAAGGAAACTTTTTTTTACTGAATTTTAATGGTAACTGTACTGTTTTGCTCAATTGTAATAATTGCTTGATTTTTATTTTGTTTTCTTACCTTTAGATATAATAAAGTTTTTATAGGCTCGTGTTCCTTTTTCCCCTATTATTTTTCGTTTAATCGCTTTTTTAACCAAAATAATACCTCTTAAACATAGCCTAGGCTTTACCATTTACTAATAATTTTTATAATTTTACTAATTACTAATTTTTTCTTGATTTGTCCTGTTGGAATTGAGATGCGTCTTATGCTCCCGTGCGTCTTACATGACATCAAATACGGTCAATAGTCTTAGCATGAAAAGTCAAAACATACCTGTCTATCTGTCTGTCTGTCTGTCTGTCTGTCTATCTATCTATCTATCTATCTATCTATCTATCTATCTCAATCTTTACATATATATCGCTTTTCCATTCCAGTCATTTCGTATCTATCTATCTATCTATCTATCTATCTATCTATCTATCTATCTTAGTCTTTACATATATACCGCTTTTCTATTTCAGTCATTTCGTATCTATCTATCTATCTATCTATCTATCTATCTATCTATCTATCTATCTATCTATCCTAGTCTTTACATATATATCACTTTTCCATTCCAGTCATTTCGTATCTATCTATCTATCTATCTATCTATCTATCTATCTATCTATCTATCTATCTACAGCTCTTATGTGTTTCCTATTGTCTTTTTTTTTTATTCAATTTTCAGTGATTTTGTATATTTTCAGTAAGTATCAATTTTTACTTGATCTCACTTACCTCCTTTGGTGTGCAACTCCTTTGAGCTCACAAGACCATTAGCCAGTAATCATACTTTTTTTTTCGTTTCCAGAAATGAATTCCTGTTTTCATTCCTTTTATTTTCCTCACCTTTTTCGCTCCCACCCCTCCTTCTTTCTCCATCACGAACAACTCATGACATGTCACGATTTCATAAGGAGACGAGTATTCTCAGAAAAGTGACGAGAGACAATCTCATCCGGTTTCCATGGAGGCCCATAACACTGTCGGCTACCAAAGCTAATAGGTTTCGTATTTTAAATTGCTTTAAAAAATATTGAATTAAACCAAGTAAAAACATTGAATATAGCAGATTTCGGTAAGTCACTACTGGCGACTAAACAAATTATTAATAAACAATATTCTTTCTTTTTTTTATTCAATTTCATCTTTATATTTCTCGTTTTTGGTTTTCTTTTCTGAAAAAAATTGAAAGCCACATTCAATGTACTTTTCTCCTAATGTTATCAATAAATTTCAATTTTAGGAATAATAAAATGAAATGTAGACTGTTGTGCCAGATACTGAGAAATAATATTACTATGAGCTGACTGGCGAAAACTATTAACAACCACTGATTGATAAATATGAAAAATAATGAAGATGTTAATAACTAGATATCTATGTTGCATGATGCCAGAGACTGGAAGAGAATATATATATATATATATATATATATATATATATATATATATATATATATATATATATAATAAATAAATCTAATGCACAGGTACTACCTACTTGGGTTTCACCACTTGAGACCATCAGGATGAACTAGTTCTTCCTGATGATCTCAAATGGTGAAACCTAAGGTAAAGTACTTGGTTCATTAGGAAACCATCTTTGTTTTAACTTATTATTCGCTGAATACCAGAAATTTAAGTTACGGGACGATTTCTTTCGCCCTGATCGGAGATCTCTTTTTTTTTCTCAAATTTTTTCCTCGGATGCCAATTTGTTTGAAAATTGTGTTATCCAGGTTTTTTCACCCACTGAGTTTAAATAGATTTACACACAACACACACACACACACACATATATATATATATATATATATATATGAAGAAATATAGTCTTAAGGTGGGCTATATTTATGGGATAAAGTGCTCAATATCAGAGATAGAGCGTGTGTAAATATAAAAGTGAACATAGAAGTCAACACTGAGAGGCGACAGTCTGTTTCATGCTAGATGCAATCGTCAGGCCACGTGTGCTGTTATTTTTCTCGGCTATTTATACATATACGGGTCAGTGGTGCATTGTGGGTAGTCTATTATGGCGGTTATTTTACCGGAAGTCGTTTATTTATTTATTTGGGTTAAATTATTTTGCTTGTTTTTATTTAATTTTATTTTTTGTTTCTTATTTTATTTATTTATTTACTTATTTTTTAATCAGTGTTTTTTTTTTATTAACGTAGTAAAAATTTGTTTATATCACTTATTTAATAGTTTTGGTTTGGTTTGAGAATTTAATTAAAGCTATTTGTTCGGTTTTGGGGTTGATTGTTGTAGTTTATTCTAACTATTATTTTTGCAGAAACAGTTTTTAATTTGTGTTTATTTGGGTTGATTATCTTTATTTGTTTTTTCTAACGATAACTTTATCGGGATTGGTTAGTTTATTTATTTACTTGAATGAATTTAGGTCAATTTATTTTACTTGTATATTTTCTCTTTTCGGTTTTCGATTTTTAAGTAACGTAGTATTTATTTATTTATTTTTTATTTTATTTTATTTTTTATTTTATTTTATTTTATTTATTTTTGTTATCGTTATATAACACTTATAGCTATTTTTTTTCGTCCGATTTTTTGGTTTGATTTTTTAGTCTAACTAATATTTTGGTCATAATGGTTTGCTACTTTGTTTATTATTTACTTTATTTATTTGGGTTCGTTGTTTTTTTGTTTTTTTTTTGTTATTATTATTATTCTATTTCGTCTATTCTAACAGGTGTGATTTGGTAATTTCTTTGGGTTAATTAATTTTGCTTATTTTATTGTTATTTTGTTTACTTGTTTTTATTTTATTTTTTCCGTTTTCAATTTTTAAGTAACGTAGTAAAAATTTGTTTTCAGGTCTGCATTTTGAGATGAGCTCGGATCTTTTATTTAATAATTTATTTTGGCCTGGGAAAGTAATGATAGCTATTTTTTCCTCCAAGCAAAGTTTGCAAGTTTTTGATTGGTTGTTGTAGGCTGATGATCTTTTCCTTATTTTCCAAGATATTTTTGGTGTGATGTGCGTTTTGTTTTTAATTTCCCAGATATACTTAGAAAGCATTGTACTGTTCGCATATTTACTATTTGTGAAAGATGCTTTGCGTGTATAATTTCTTTGTTTCCATGGTCATTCAGTTACTCCTATGTATACTTTTTTTCATTATCTGGTGATTTTATCGTGGCTTGGTATATTACGCTGTTTTATAAACAATTTCCGTTTAAGGGACATTCGTTCTTTATTCTGCAGTTGCACGTGAGTTTAATTTGTTTGTGTGGTTTGTTGTTAATTTTCCTGTTGTGCTTTTTTATTATTTGTGCCATGTTCTCAGTGCAGCTGTAGCTGAGTTTTACTGTGTTTTTGTTGAATATTTTGTGTAAGATGCTTGATTCCGGGAAGTGTTTGTGTAAGAGTTTGAAGAATATTTTTCCTACGTTTGTTTTTACGTTTTTGCTATACGGTGGGTTGAACCATATGATATTTCTTCTCCTGTTGGCCTTTTTTGTGTTCTGTGGTGAGTATGTGAGTGTTGGTGGGAATCCGCTATCTTTTAGGGCTGTTTCATAGTCTTTCTTAGCTTTGTTAAATATGGATTCATTGGAGGAATTGTCGGAAAGCCTGCGGTTAATCGATTTTGGTATCTGTTTGAGTATAGAAGGCGAGTGGTTGGAAGATGTGTGTATGTAGAGTGGTTTATCATGTTGAAAAGACAACTGACATTCTTCATAAAATTGACCGGCCCTTGTGAAGTTAGCTGTGGGACCACACGAGTCTGTGGGAATATTCTAGATTCTTGTCGACCTTTAGGTATAAGAATGCGTTCTATTCAGTTGGTAGAATTCCCTGTGAGATGATGAGCCTATAATCTCAAGTTTCTCTTTCAAGTTAACAGCTTTTCTCTTCTTTTTAACACAGATTAAAGATTAACATTGGCGTTTAGCAGGTATATTAAAGGCTTACGACGTCATCACGTTGAAACACCGTTTCCTGTACGACCACCGAAATTAAGCAATGTCGAGCCTGGTCAGTACCTAGATGAGTGACCGTTTCAGAATACCAGGTGCAGTGAGTTAACAACTACGGGTCAATTAGTACGAGTTGTATGGATAAATCATTATTATTTTAAAAAAATTCATACAATCTAAAAAAAAATATTTTCTGGCCTTAAATAACCTGCAAAGAATTGATAAGCCGTAGAAAAGGAAGCGATCAATCATTATATTAACAGACTTTGAAAATACAATAAAGCTTGAAAAAAGTATTGTATGATAAAGAGTTAAAGAGTTAAGGCTCCTAATCGATAGTGTGGATAGATGCGGTATGGATGTTGCTCCGTCATGTCGCTATCGCCATAAATTAACTAGCAGGTCCTCGTCGGTCTTCTGCGAAAAAAAGAAAGAATTTTGATTATTTACGTTATTCGGAATATTGTCCTCATCTGTGTCGCCATATTTATTACAACGTTTCGGCCGTTGTACGCTCCGGCCTTCTTCAGATGGTTGGAATGTCGAACTGAACCCTTTATTTCGCTCACTGGGGTAGACTGTTCTAGTTCCACGTGCCATGTTTGATGGATGTGAGTTATCAGTTATCTCCTGTTAATTTCCCTCTGAAAGTTCTCCACTGACTTAACCGGGTATTGAACTCACACTCTTTGGGTCCTGCCACTGGATTTAACCAACGCCTTTATCCACTGTGCCATGTGTCCTTGAGGAAACATGGCACGTGGAACTAGAACAGTCTACCCCAGTGAGCGAAATAAAGGGTTCAGTTCGACATTCCAACGACCTGAAGAAGGCCGGAGCGTACAACGACCGAAACGTTGTAATAAATATGGCGACAAAGATGAGGACAATAATCTGAATAATGTAAATAATGTACATAATACCTTATCTCAGAAATAAAGACAGAATTTGAAGAATTTTGATGTTTAATAAGTGATTAATGTACATCACTGTTGCAGAATCGTGAACATCAAGAATCGTAATGGCACCGTCGTTAAGCGTGGAGCATCTCTCTCTCTCTCTCTTTCTCTCTCTCTCTCTCTCTCTCTCTCTCGGTGGAGTAATGGATAGCGGCTGGAATCGAGGAATCGGAGGTCCCAGTTCGAACTCCAGTCGAATCCATTGCATTAACTTACGTGCTAATACCTTTGGGAAAGGAATTCATCCTCCTCTTCTCTCTCCATATGGCTAAATAGCAGGATAGACTGAGTTATATAGCCTTGGATGGCAACTGGTCTAGGAGAAGAACAATTCAAATTCGTTTGGAGACCTTGTGGCACGTCGTGCACCAGGTCACGGGATTCAGCCCTTCAAAAAGTGTGGTTGGTTCTGCATCATTATAATCAAATCATGTGTGCTCGTGTCTGGGCTGTCGGTTCCAGACCCTTATACGAGGCGAGAGTATATATATATATATATATATATATATATATATATATAATGGTACAGTTAGGCTGAAATGAACGACGGTTGAAAAGACTTTTCTTGCTATATATTTTGAATGGTCTTGCCTTTTCTGCATTTCATTTCCGCTACAATTACAATTCGCTTCTGGGCTCATCATTTCAGAGCACTCTCTGTAAAAAAATCATTGGCGTCTTAACGCCACTAATAGCTTTCCGTTGTCAGCTAAACAAATGTAATTTATGTTTCCGTTTCGATTTCTCCGTCTACTTTATTTGATATTCCTGTTTCGGCCTTCTTCCATTAACAAAGACACTTTATCGTCGATTTATTTATTTGTTCTCATTCACTCAGTCATTCCATCCATCTCACCCCAGCTTCTATTGTTAGTTTTTGATTGTTTACAATCATTTTCTCTGTTTTCTTTCAGCGTTTCCTTCCTTCCTTCTATTTTAACTTCCCTTTTTCTTTATATTTAGATTTGTTTGTATCTTTTCTTCTTTTTCCTTTTTTTCTTTCTTTCTTTCTTTCTTTCTTTCTTTCTATTTTAACTTCTCTTTTCTTTCTTTCTATTTTAACTTCCTTTTCTTTCTTTCTTTCTTTCTATTTTAACTTCCTTTTCTTTCTTTCTTTCTTTCTTTCTATTTTAACTTCTCTTTTCTTTCTTTCTATTTTAACTTCCCTTTTCTTTCTTTCTTTCTATTTTAACTTCCCTTTTCTTTCTTTCTTTCTATTTTAACTTCCCTTTTCTTTCTTTCTTTCTATTTTAACTTCCCTTTTCTTTCTTTCTATTTTAACTTCCCTTTTCTTTCTTTCTTTCTATTTTAACTTCCCTTTTCTTTACATTTAGATTTGTTTGCATCTTTTTTCTTTTTCTTCCATGCCTTCCTTCTTTCCTTCCTTCCTTTTTCCTTTCTTTCTTTTATCCCTCATTGGTTCACACTTCCTTTTATCTTTCTTGGATGTTTGTCTTATTTTATATTTTATTTCCTTTTACGGATTTCATTTCTTATCATCATCTTTCTTTCTTTCTTTCTTTCTTTCTTTCTTTCTTTCTTTCTTTCTTTCTTTCTCGAATTACTTATTTTATTTCTGTCTTTTCAGAATTCTTTCTTTCTTTTGTTTCTTTTTAGACTTCCATTTTCTTTTACTTTCTTTCTTCAAAGGATTTCTTTTTTTCCTCTTTTTCTTCTCATAATTCTTTCTTTATTTCCAGGTTTTATTCTTTTCCTTTTTTCTTTTTTACCAGGTCCACTTTTTCATTTTCTTTATTCTTAGCATTTATTTCTCCGTTTTTTCTCTTTTCCCAGAATTCTTTTTTTTTTCCTGAGGATACATTCTTTCTTTCTTTCTTTCTTTCTTTCTTTCTTTCTTTCTTTCTTTCTTTCTAGTTTTCCTTTTCCTATTTCTTTCTTTCTTCTCATGATTCCATTTTTCATTTTTCTTCCTGAAATTCCTGTTATTTTTTCTTTTCAGAGTTCTTTTTTCTTTCTTTCTTTCTTTCTTTCTTTCTTTCTTTCTTTCTTTCTTTCTTTGTAGGCTTACTTTTACTTTTTAGGATTCGCTTTTCCGTTTTGCTTCCTGAAATTTTTACTTTTCTTTCTTTTCAAACTTCTTTCTTTCTTTTAATTGTGAATCATATGCACTTCGTGTTTTCTCGACTGGACATCAGATCAGCATGTAACTCAACGCTGCAGGCATTGCGTTAAAGAAGTAATAGCCGTAATATTTGCAATTGCTACGAATTTGACGGGCAGACATTGTGCTAGTCACTTTCAATGTACCAATTTGCTCCGAGGAAAAACTAAATAAAAACGAACGATAATTTTCGAAATGAAAGGAATATGTTATCATCCATAATGCTAAAAATCAGAGTTATCAGCTTGGGATTAGAATTCTTATTGTCTGTGATTTTACACGAAGCGGTAATAAAGTTTTACGAGACTGAAAATTGAACATGATTACCACGCTGAATTAGGTTAGGTTAGTCAATTTAAAGACTCACCCCTATATATGTCTTGTAGGAGGAAAATCATGATTAATTAATAGTTCTAATGTAAGACATTATAATGAACACTGATCAGGTTCATACTTGCGTTTGAGTACTTTTTTATTGATGGGTTCATGCCTTTCTGCAACAGAGACTTTTTGCATATTCCTGGCTCTGCTGACGGGCCAACGTGTTCGAATTATTAGAATTCAACAACAAAGGTAATTTCATATTTCAAACAACTAAAACACGCACACATGTGTCAATTTGCAGTCGTGTTAGCTTGAAATATTGCTGCCATACATGGTCAGGTGCTCCCGCTGTTGATCTCGAGGTCCTAGACAAAATCCAAATGCCAGATCAGGACTAACCACGTTGCATACACATCTCTAATTCTTTAAACCCTTGTATCTTAGAAATGATTAACGATATCATACTGGAATTCTCAGTTTAACAGAAGTATCGTGATGAAATCGAAAATCGATCATAAACGAAAATGACATGTTCATCATTAATTAATCATAGCTAAGAATCGGAAGTTCATGACGGATTGATATAGAGTTCAAATATATATATATATATATATATATATATCAATCCAGGATAATTTTCCAACTTATTCAAGATGTTTTTCGCCTTCTCTAACGTTATAAGTTTCTGTCCTGGAGTAACAAGGTGTCTCACACGTTTCACGTACTATTTCATTTTCAAGTCTTTTTCTCACTGCTCTTTGGACTGTCATAGCTGAAACTTCTCTCTCAAATGCCAAACGTCTTATGGTTCTTTTCTAATTGATCTCTTTAAGTTAAAATGATGACCTTCTTCTTGTTGTGACCTCCTGATCAAGTTTTCCTCTCTACTGTCCCCTCTTTTTTTTAAAAGTTACTCACCGTTCCTTTGAATGGTTCTTGAATAGACTTTCATTTTCAAGTAATTTTTCACTGCTCTTTGGACTGTCTTATCTGAAACTCCTCGCTCTTCTTTAGCTGAAAAATTGAAAGGTTTTTTCCGTGATTCTTACCACAAATGGTGTCAAGATGGTTAAACGTCTTATCTGGAAACCTGGACAAAAGAAACTCAATTAGTTTAGTGTTTTGTTTAGTTATTAAACATTTTGTGGGGTTAATAATTATGCTGTTACACGACTTGGACAATTTCGCTGTTACATCCGGCATATATATATATAATATTAGTGGTAAATATACACATACATAAGCAATCATATACCTAAAAAATATAAAAATATATACATACATACACATGCATATATATATATATATATATATATATATATATATATATAATTACAAGAGGACAGAATCCAGGTAGAACTCAATGTCCAGGACAGAGTAAGGATATAATAAAAAAGCTTAAACACTAATATTCCATGGTCATAATTTATTCCATTGGAATCGTTTATATATATATATATATATATATATATATATATATATATATATGTGTGTGTGTGAGTGTGTGTGTGTGTATATATATATACATGTATGTGTGTGTTTGTGTTTGTGTACATGATTTATAGGTATATCAAATTCAATATTTACTTACATATTTATACTTATTTGTATCTATATATGCTACATGTATAATGTTCAACAGAATATTTTGCATAAGGCATGTTATAAATATTTTTTAAAATAGAATTCTATCAAAATTAAAGTCGGCTTTCTTTTCCGACAAATATACAAAATTAAAACATCCTAGCAATTATTGAAAGTTGAAAGAAAAATCCGAACAGGAAAGTCCAATTAACGAAAAGAACGTAAATATACTAAAAAGTAAACTGAATCAAAAAAAAAAAAAATCAAGTCGTTTGCCGTCAAAAACCCCCAATCAAAAATAAAATGAAAGAAAAATGACAGACAAGGCATGTCGGGAAATTGGAACAGAAAAAAAAAATGGTGGAAGGGAAAGAGTGAAACCTTCATACGGAAGGAAATGAAGGCAAGGTTTTGTTGAAAATGCACAAAAAAGAAGGGAGTTAATTTAAGTTAACTAGCCTTTTAACGTAATGAAGTATAATGTCCCAAGGCTGGCAACATGCTCGACATGTTGCCATTCGTTTATCTCTTCAAAGTTCTTTCATGTCTCTTTTGTTGTTTTGCGATGTCCTCCAACCAAGCAGGAAACTCGTTTGTTGCTCTTTTTATCCCCGCTTTTGCCATCTTCCACACCAGAAATGAAAACTATCCCCCGTGGTGTCAAGTCTTTCCTAGTTTCTCTTAATTTGCGTTCAACCATGTTTTTCGGTGATTTTTCAAATATCTTCGTCAGTGTTTCTCCCAGAATGATTGAATTCTTGTTCTTTTCAATCAGTTCCTGTCTTTTTCTTCTGGTTGTTGCATTCGTAGGAAAACTATATATATATATATATATATATATATATATATATATATATATATATATATATATATATATATATATATATATATATGTTCTGTTCTGTTTTTACTTTTACGTCATTATACGTTTTTTCGCGTTCTCATATTGAAAGTATTTTTTTTTACTTTTTTTCCGTTTCTTCAACGTTCAATAATCGATTTTCTTTCTTTCCTTTCTTTCTTTCTTTCGTTCCTTCTTTCTCTCTTTCTTTCTTTTTTCAAAGTTTGTGAAATGACCAAAATTGCATAGCAGGGGTTGTACGCTTTAGTCATAAAATAAAATTAAGAAAAAAAAAATTACAATCATCTTTATATAATTGTATAAATGTATGAACTTCTGATTGGAATGTTTGAGAAACGGTATTCTCTCTCTCTCTCTCTCTCTCTCTCTCTCTCTCTCTCTGTGTGTGTCTTTTGCTCTAGCCCTTTCTCTCTTCGTATTTGTGTGAATTGTGACAGAAAAAATGTCACTTTGATAAATATTAGAAGT